CCCACGCTCTGCATGAACTGTATTTCTCTGCAGGATCACTTCCTGAGCTCTATCATTTCCTAAGTGTGTCACTCTCAGAATCCATCAACTCCGATTTTCCCTCCTGATGATGAAAGCATATTGCTCCTGTCCTCTCCTGACAAGGCTGAATCCTTTGTAAAGGTCCCCCCACCCACCCAATCACTGGGAGCAGACATGCCCATGTCCCATGCCCCTGTTCTCATACCTCCCAGTGGGACACTGGTGAGCCCTCATTTGTACCCATTTTTAGATGTTCTGCCCTCCTTAAAGCTGCTCCTGAAGGGGAAGCTGTCTCTCACATCTTCTAGAGCAGTGTTTCCCAAACTTTTGACATATGTGTACACCTTCTATAATTTTTGTAACGTGAGTACCCTTCGTACTCATGAGAACGTAGAATTAGGTGCAGCTAAGCACGGTGCAGTGCAAATCCCCACCAAACTCTGGTGCAACGCGTACCCCCACCAAACTCTTCCCGTACCACACTTTGGGAAACACTGTAGCCCTTCCCTAGACCTGTGGTCGGCAAACTGCGGCTCACGAGCCACATATGGCTCTTTGGCCCCTTGAGTATGGCTCTTCTACAAAATACCACAGCCTGGGCAAGTCTATTTTGAAGAAGAGGCATTAGAAGAATTTTAAGTTTAAAAAAATTTGGCTCTCAAAAGAAATTTCAATGGCTGTACTATTGATATTTGGCTCTGTTGACTAATGAGTTTGCAGACCACTGCTCTAGACCTTTGCATCTATTCTTGCTTCCAGGTACTTTGGAAACACTAGTGTATGGCACTACTCTCACAAGACTCTAGGCTCTCTAATAAACTTTCATTGGGTTTTTGAAAATAAGGTATTTGCAAAACACCTGTACATGAATGTTCATGGCAGCATTGTTCATAAAAAGTGGAAACAGCTGAAACCGGTTTGGCTCAGTGGATAGAGCATCGGCATGCGGACTGAAAGGTCCCAGGTTTGATTCCGGTCAAGGGCATGTACTTTGGTTGCGGGCACATCCCCAGTAGGGAGTGTGCAAGAGGCAGCTTATCAATGATACTCTCTCTCATCGATGTTTCTAACTCTCCATCCCTCTCTCTTCCTCTCTGTAAAAAATCAATAAAATATATTATTTAAAAAAAACTAGAAACAACCCAAATGTACATCAACTAATGAATGGATAAACAAAACATGATCTATCTATTCAATAAAATATTATTCAGCCATAAAAAAGCACACAATAATGATATTTTCTTACAGGGGGTAGCTGATTCCAAAACAGCAGATCAGTGTTTTGTGCTAAGACTCTTTAGTGGAACCATGCATGGGTGAAGGGAACAGTGGGAACCTACATCTGAAGAACCGAGTACCATCCTGGCTGGTGTAGCTCAGCTGGAGCATTGTCCCATACACCAAAATGTGGCAGGTTGAAGCCAATCAGGGTACATTCCCAGGTTGTGGGCTTAATTCCTGGTCAGGGCACATACAGGAGGCAACCAATTGATGTTATTCTTTCTCCCCCTTCATCTCTTTAAAATCAGACATGCAAATGTGGCTGGATGCTGAGGAACCTTCCTCCAGGCCCTCAGATTCTCACAGGCACTCATTACCTTATCTGCCAACGGAAAACTGGGCTGGGGGAGGTAAGGTAGCATCACCTTTTGGGAATGAGTGATAGAATGGTGATTTTGTCATCTTTATTCAAGGTTCACTGCTAAACAGGTACCAAAGACATTAAGATTCAACAATTAGCCGAAACCGGTATGGCTCAGTGGATAGAGCATGGGCCTGCAGACTGAAAGGTCCCGTGTTCGATTCCGGTCAAGGGCATGTACCTTGGTTGCGGGCACATCCCCAGTGGGGAGTGTGCAAGAGGCAGTTGATGGATGATTCTCTCTCATCGATGTTTCTAACTCTATCTCTCTCTCTCTCTCTCTGAAAAAAATCAATAAAATATATATTTTTAAAGATTCAACAATTATTGATTTTATAATTAGAAGAGAGAAAACACATACACACAGGTTTAAAGTATGCCAAAGAAACGGAGCTCTTACGTAAGGAAGAGTTTCTGTCCCAACTCTCATGAATAAGAATATTGGAAATCTACGTTCCTTCATGTTTTAAATCTTAGATATGCAAAAGCAATTTTGCAGATGTGATTATATTAATGATCTTGATGGGGAGATTATCTTGAATTATCTAAGTGAGCCCAACATAATCATAATATTCCTTAGATGAGCAAGGTTAGAGGGTCAAAGTCAGAGAAGGTGATGTGATGATAGAGACTAGAGGTAATGTACTTTGAAGTGGATAGAGCATCGGCCTAGAGACTGAAGGGTCCCAGGTTTGATTTCGGTCAAGGGCACATGCCTCAGTTGCAGATTCAGTCCCCGGTGAGGGGCGTGAACGCGTGCAGAAAGTGGCTGGTCTCTTTCATCATTGATGTTTCTCTCTCTCTCTCTCTCTCTCTCTCTCTCTCTTTCCCTTCCTCTCTGGAATCAATATAAAGTATTTTTTTTAAATGTTAAAAACAAAAAAGATGAAGGAAGGGACCACAAGCCAAGGAATACAAGCAGCCACTAGAAACTGAAAAACACAAGGAAACAAGATTCATCTCTCAGAGTCCCCAGAAGGATTCAGGGCTACTTACACCTTCATTTCAGCTCAACACAACTGATTTTGGACTTCTGACCTCTGGAACTCTGAGATGTTTGTGCTGTTCACCCATAAGAAATACAGATATAAGAAGGATTAGGAAAGTTAAGAAACGACAGTGAAATTGGCATGGAAAAGGAGGTGGGGAGGGTAGGAACAGAATGAGGAACCAACGAGGCCCTGACCAGCGAGAGGCAGCAGACTAGAATACCTGAGGTATGGTCTAGGCCAGCAGTTGCTAACCTTTCAAACCTCATGGACCACCAGTGGTCCACAAACCACCAGTTGGCAACCACTGCTCCAAAAGTTTCCTTAAACCAGTGGTCACCAACCTTTCAGACCTCACTGTCCACCAGTGATCCACGGACCACCAGGGACTACCACTGGTCTAGGCCTAATAATGAAGATGAATTTTAATATCTAACCTAATGTATTTGTTGGGAAGGGGACTGTGGATTAGAATCTAAAGGGTCACCAAGCATGATGAAGGCCACTGGGTTTCCATTAAGTCCACCTCTGCCCCAAAGACAAAAGGTTTCATCTACTGCATTCAACAGATTGTCACTAGAATCTCTGATTTAGACAGAAATGGGCCCCGAGGAGCCCCTGGCTCTTCAATTACTGACACTTATTTCTCTATTTCTCCTCGTGGCATATGTGCTAAGTCCAACAGCTAAAATGGTGGTACAACAGGTTCTTGCCCTTAAAGGCCCTTTATCTTGTATGATACAGCTCCCCAACCCTGGAACTATTTACATTTTGGATCAGATAATTCTGTTGTGGGGGCCAAACTGTGCACTGTTGGACATTTAGCCGTACTCTTGGTCTCTACCCACTAGGGGCCAGGAGCTATCCCTCCTTCCCCAACAATGTTTCCAGACATTGCCAAATCTCTTGGGGGCAAATGTATTCCCAGTTTGAGCACCACTGGTGAGCAGAGTGGTGCAGGGAATGACATGCCATTAAGTCTAAGTATGCTTAGAACTTGTCAGAGAAGGATTTGCAGAGCAGGCAACTCTTGTGAAGTGAGAGAGGATAGAAGGGGGGCGTGTTGCAGACTCTAAAGGCAAATGAAACTGTATACAAATATCTGGAAGGCAGGAATGTAAGTGTGTGCACTTGACCCTTTGCTGTAAGGAAGAATGACCGCACAAGCCACAGTCCTGAGGTGACTGGCAGAGGCTTTAGGATACTGATGCTTTAGGAAGAATGCTACCTACCAGTTTTCTGTTTAAGAGTGCACCCATTGACCAAATGTTTCCTCTCAAATAGGGGATCAGCTGGCTTGCCCAGGGTACTAAAAAGTATATAATAATTGCATTTTAATTTCCACTATGAGAGAATAAAGGAATGGGATTAGGTAATCTTTCAGGCATAGTTACAGGACTTTAACATCTTAAATAAGTATATTTTGTCATTTTTAGAAACCTCATTTTGGCTTAATTACATATATAATTAACCCATTTCAATAATTTTCAGTAAATATACTGAAATAATCCAGTTTTAGAACATTTTTATTTCCTCAATTATTCTGTTATTCCTAAAGCTACTAGCAAGAGAGGAAGGAGAGTCGTAAGGATTCCCTTTGACATCTGCTTAGCGATCGACATCCACTACTTGCTCCTGGTTGTAGCTTTTCCCTATCCCTTGGACAGGATTGAAGCAGCTGTGTAGATTTTCTTTTCCTAAATCAAGGGTGCTTTGATATAAAAAGATCCCTCAATATGTGTGTGTGTAGTAAAAGCATGGAAACCCTCTCCTCAAACAAGTATGTTCATATTCTCCCTTCATGTGTCCTTTGTTATGAACAGCCAGGAATTACAGAAAGAATACTAGGGTGTTTATATGAACTTTTGCTTTGAAATTCTTGTGTATCACCCATCTTTATTTGAAATTCTTGTGTATCACCCATCTTTATCCTCTCTTGCTAGTACATGATAAAGATTGCCTGGTATAACAGCAAATGTATAACTATATATAGAATATACCTTTGAGGATAAATAAAGCAGTGCAGAAAAGTTTTAACATGGGACAGGGACACCTGTAAGATCATCCTGATGCTCCTTCAGTAGTTATGCCCCACTCTCCAGCAGAGACCCTAGTTCCCTTTCAACCAATGCTCAAACCTGCCATTTCTTTACCCTGTCACCATGCATGGTCATGTCCCCAACAGCTTCTTCTGAGATCCCTCACCAGAGAAATGTACAGTATCATTCTCCAGGAACCTCTTGCGTTCCTTGTAAGTCCCACAGACAATCTTTATAATTTATATATAAATAAGGGAAAGGAGAAACACAAATACCTTCCTTCTGAACAAATTGACCAAAGTTTTGCTTTCAGTTTCCATGGTGAAGTCTATGATGCTGGTGAAGGTTTGAACTCTGGCGAAAGCTTTTCCCACACTGGCCACACTGGTATGGCTTCTCTCCAGTGTGGATCCGCTGGTGCAGTTTCAGAGTTGATTGCCGCCCAAAACAGTTGCCACATTCTCCACAGGTATAGGGTCTCTCCCCTGTGTGGACTCGCTTGTGTCTTTTCAGCTCTGAATTCCATGTGAAGCTTTTCCCACAGTCATCACATTTGTAAGGTTTCTTCACTGAGTGGGTCATCTGGTGACTAAGATGTTGCAAATGACTGCTCAGGCTTCTTTTACTTCCTTTGCTTTTCTTCAGCTCTCTCAGTAGATGGTTTTTTAGGGGGCTACTGATATATTCCAGTTCCCTGTAATGTCTCTGGAAGTGAGTGAATGGCTTTTGAGCATTTGGGGGGCTGATCTGCCTTCGTGACAACCAGGATTCACTCATGTTTGCCCCTCTTGGTTCAGGACTCTGCAGACGATTCCCTTTGAGTCTGCTGGGTGACACTGCACATGGCTTTGCTCCTTTAGCCCCTTCCTGTTTTGGATTCTCCTTGTTCTCACTTTTCATTCTGGGGGCTTCTATAATTAGAAAGAATCTATTTCATATTTTGGGCTTCAAAGAAAGAACCTTAGCAAAAGAATTATGAAATATACTGTAAGGTTTCTCAATCTGTGGTCCTCTACTGGCAACCTGCATTAGACTCATCTGGGGCACTTACCAAACAAGCAGAATGCTGAGTCAGAATCTTTGGGGGGTGGTACTTGGAAATTTATGTTAAAGTTAGGAACCAACTTTAGGAAAGGAGAAATAGGGAAAAGAAAACCCAAAGGCCTGAGTGTCAACTAAAGAATAAAAGGAAGAAACAGAGTTGGAATTTCAACTTTGCGATTTCACTCTCTCTTCATAGACATTGAATAAACACCACTTTCTCTTCAAATAATGATAAATCCAATGAATGTGGATTTCCTTTTCTTATAAAATTGACAGCATTTGTGTCTGGAACCTGGAATATGGGTTAGATATGCAGCCTATTTACAGAAACTACCCAACTTCTAACAGGATTGAGAATGAGGATGGAAATTTGTTGGAATAGCCTCTGGGCTAGTCAGAGATCCAGAGCTGTGTTATCCCATAGCATTCTTGAAATGTAGGCAATATGTGTGTGTGTGCATGTGTGCAAGTGCTATTCAATATAGCAGCCACTAGCCACATGCAGCTACTAAGTACATGAATGTGACTAGTATGACTAAAAAACTGGATTTTATACTTTTAATTAATTTAAATAAGCAGCCCATGCAATTATAATCAATTGTTCTTTAACAAGGTTGACAAAACAATTCAATGGGGAAAGAATAGTCTTTTTAATAAATGGTACTGGGCTGAAACTGGTTTGACTCAGTGGACAGAGCGTCAACCTGCGGACTCAAGGGTCCCGGGTTCGATTCCAGTCAAGGGCATGTACCTTGGTTGCAGGCACATCCCCAATAGGGAGGCAGCTGATCGATGTTTCTAACTCTCTATCCCTCTCCCTTCCTCTCTGTAAAAAAATCAATAAAATATATTAAAATAAATAAATAAATAAATAAATAAATAAATAAAATGGTACTGGGACAACTGGATTTCCAGATGCAAAAGAAGGAAGTTGGATCCCCACCTCATAACATATATAAAAATTAATTTAAAGTGGATCAAAAACCTAAATGTAGGAACTAAACCAATCTCTCTTTAAATAAAACATAGAGCCCTGCCGGGACCGGTTTGGCTCAATAGATAGAGCGTCGGCTTGGGGACTGAAGGGTCCCGGGTTCGATTCCGGTCGAGGGCATGTACCTTGGTTGCGGGCATATCCCCAGTAGGGGGTGTGCAAGAGGCAGCTGATCGATGACTCTCTCATCGATGTTTTTAACTCTCTATCTCTCTCCCTTCCTCTCTGTATAAAATCAATAAAATATTGATTTTATATTAAAACAAAAACAAAAAAACATAGAGCCCAAACCGGTTTGGCTCAGTGGATAGAGCATCGGCCTGTGGACTGAAAGGTCCCAGGTGTGATTCCTTGGTTGAGGGCACATCCCCAGTGGAGGGTGTGCAGGAGGCAGCTATTCGGTAATTTTCTCTCATCGATGTTTCTAACTCTCTATCCCTCTCTCTTCCTCTCTGTAAAAAATCAATAAAATATATTTTAAAAAATAAAAATAAAACATAGATGTAAATCCTTATGCCTTCATATTAGGCAATGGTAATTTATATAAGTGACCAAACCACAAACAGATATAGAAAAACAAAAACAAAAACAGATAACCTGGACTAAATTAAAATAAAAAACATTTATGCTTCAAAGAATACTACCAAGAAAGTAAAAAAGAGCCCTGGCCAGTGTGCTTAGTACTTAGAGCATCAGCCCAAGCACTGAAGAATCACAGGTTCAACTCCCAGTCAAGGGTACCTACCTGGGTTGTAGGTTCCATTCCCAGCCCTGGTCAGGGCTTGAGTGGGAGACAACCAATCAATGTGTTTCTCTCGCATCAATGTTCTCCCTCTCTCTCTCTCTTTCTCTCTCTCTCTCTCTTTCTGTCCCTTCCATTCTCTCTAAAAATCAACAGAGAAAACGATCCTCAGGTGAGGATTAACAACAAAAAGTAAGAAATAAAAAGACAATCCACAGAATAGGAAAAACACTTGCAAACTCTATATAAGGGTCTAGTATCCAGAATATGTAAATACCTCTTTCAACAATAAAAAGACTAACGCAATTTTAAAATGAGCAAAGGATCTGAATAGACATGTCTTCGAAGAATATATAAGTGGCCAATAAATATATGGACAGATGCTCAACATCATTAGTTATTAGGGAAATAACTCAAAACTTCCACAAGATACCACTTCCCACCTAATAGGATGGCTGTTACAAAAAAGACAACAGTAAAAATGTTAGCAAGGATGTAAAGAAAGTGGAATCCCCAAAGACTGTTAGTGGGAATGTAAAATTGCACAGCCTTTTTAGAAAACAGTCTGGTATTTCCTCCAAAAGTTAGACATAGTTACCATATCACCCAGTAATCCCACTCCACAACCAAGAGCAATGAAAACATGTTCACTTGTAAACAAATATTCACAGTAGCATTATACATAATACCCAAAAGTGGAAACCCACATGTCCATCAACTGATAAACAAAATTTCCATTAATATAATACCATTTAGCCTTAAAAAGGAATAAGTACTGATACATGCTACAATATGGATTAACTTTGAAAATATGTTAAGTGAAAGAAGCCAATCACAAAAAAGCACATTTTACATGATGCTGGACAATGAAATGTCCAGAATAGGTAAATCTAGAGACAGAAAGTAGACAGTGGTTGTTACGGATTAGAAAGGGAGGGATGGAGAGTGACTGCTAATAGGTATGGGTTTCTTTTCTGAGGTTATGAAAATATTCAGAAATTAATGGTGATGTTTGCACAATTGTGTAATTATACTAAAAGACAATGTAATTATATTAAAATTCACACTCTAAAAGGGTGAATTTTATAGTATGTGAATTATATTTCAATAAATAACATCTACACAGTTGCATGTGGCTAGTGGCAATTATATTGCACAGTGCAGCTCTGAAGGAAGAGGCTGTTGGATCTTAGGAATGAGAAGCATGAGAATATACAAATGAAGGAAGATAGTACACACAGCCAGTTGCCTCTGCTGAGCCAGGGGAAGGGAGTGTGTGTGGTCCACTTTATTCAAGTCTACGAAGGCCATAGATTATGGGGCAGGACCTCAGCCAGAGTCACAATGATTTCTATTGGATGCCCTAGTTCTCCATTCTTGAGTTCTGAGAATAATCAAATCAAAGTGTTTCACTGACTGTAGCAAATCTGAAGGGATTAAGGCTCTAGTTTTCTTGTAACTCTCTAACTTGCTGACTATAATCTATATTTACTTCACCAAGACTGGCCAATGTCACTGTCATTCAGTTTTAGCAGCCACAGGGCTGGGTGGAGTAGGGCTGAGAGTTATACTGGCATTGTACCACAGATAAGTAAGGAAGTGGACACAGAAGTTTAAAGCACAGAAAATGTATTGGAGAAGGCAGAAAATAATATGGAGTGGGCTTTTTCTCTAATGAAAAGAATATTCTGTAGGCCCCTTCTAAATAATAGTATAGGACCATTTTAAGTGATGAAATTTAGCTTGCATGGAAGTTCATCAGTGGTCATATTTGGATCTGTCTACGCTATATAGGAAGCTCTAAAAGGGACAGAAAAGCACTAGAACAGTCCTGTTGTGTACTGCATTGTCCAATAGTCATTAACAGAAAATAAAAACATAATTCTTATGTATAGTATCACTACTATTTTTTTAAAACATATTTTTGTTGATTTCAGAGAGGAAGGGAGAAGGAGAGAGTGATAGAAACATCAATGATCAGAGAGAATCATTGACTGGCTGCCTCCTGCATGCCCCACACTGGGGATCAAGCCTGTAATCCAGGCATGTGCCCTGACTGGAAATTGAACTGTGACCTCCTGGTTCATAGGTTGATGTTCAACCTCTGAGCAACACCGTCTGGGCATATCACTACCATTCTAATTAGTAAAATTTTTTCAGGCATAAAGATCTACCATTACATATAACATTTTTTAAAAATATCACCATCTCATCTATGGCTTTTCAGAACCATGAATGCTTTGATGGAGATGAAGACTGATGAGAGGGAGAGAGGAGGCACAGAGCATTTACCTGTCCCAGCCAATTTGGTGGTTGGCTCCAGAAGGAGTGGGGATTTTTCCCACTGATGGGGGCTAAACTGGTCCAGAAGTCCTGCCTGGAAAGGCTCCTCCAAACAGTTCTCCCTAGGGTATCTCCTAGGAGTTTGCAGTTGAAAGTCTGGTAGTTCCTGTTCTCCAAGCTGAGATCCAGTTCTCTCCAAGAGCACTTTCTGCCCCTGCATACAAACAGCCACCTAGGAACAAGCCCCATGCATTAGAGGGCAGCCAGAGGACTGACTCAAGGCAGCTTGACCTCTCACTGCTCTGTAATGACCCCTTACCCTGGAAATTCCTGACAATGGACTGGAGGTCAACTTAGATAGAGACTGCTGAAACTCAAAGAAAACACAGGGAAGGACATGGGGAATGACCAGAATGAGGCTGCTTCAAATCAGCCAATACTTCTTGAGTGGAGAACTCTAAAGCTTGGGCCTTGCTCAAGACCTGGAATCAAAGTCATTAAAGAGCAGGCACAGACAACAGGGTCAGTCATGACAATGGTTCAGCAGATTCCCACCCTATGCCCACCTGCCTCCCAACTGCTAAAAACAGGCTCTGTAGAATTGGGAAGCAGTGTAGTAAGGGCCATTAAAAACCATCTTTACCTAATAAATAGTTCTGCCCAAGGCTCTAAGAGGACTGCCCCACTCCTGTTCCCTAACCGCTTCCATTCCCCAAAGCAAATGGTTGTTTGCTTCCTGCTGAGGCTCTTGGTCTGACTTTGAGGGTAAAGATTGAAAGGAATACTAGCTAACTGAGCTATGACTTCCTGATCTAAAGGAAATACCTATGCAAGACACTTGACTGGAACGAGGTTCAATGAAGTTACTCATAAACCAAAGTCCTATCCAACATGATTACACTGTCTGCTAAGAATCCTGATTGTAGGAAACCTTCAAAAGGAATGGAGGGGAGATCTGTCAGCAAAGATTCGATAACCTTACTGATCCTCCACTTTGTCATGGAAGGGCCCCTGGGTGGGTTTTCTGAAAACCTGGTACATCTGGGGGTAGGGGAATGTTTCCAAAACAGAGGCCAGAAAACATGTTGGAAGCCAACCTGGTCCATTCCTGGGCTCTAATTAGAGAGAGCCCCAAAACCAAACACTATCCAGATGGGGGTGGAGGGGGGCGGGGAGAATCCTACGGACCAATAGAGAAGACCCGCCTTACCCATTGCTTTGGTCTCTTGGCTGCTCTGTGAAAATCTTCCACCAGAGTCACCATCTCCTTGCTGCTCATTGGACATCGATGCCTGACCTGAGCCTGGATCTCGGGGGGCAGGATGTTCAGGAACTGCTCCAGCACCAGCAGCTCCAAGATCTGCTCTTTGGTGTGCACCTCGGGCTGCAGCCACTGCCGGCAAAGCTGCCGGAGCCGGGAGAGTGCTTCTTGGGGTCCAGACACCTCTTGATAACAAAGCCGTCTAAAGCTCTGGCGGCAAGCTTCGGGATTGGGGCCGTCTTTTTGCAGAACCGCCCCCCGCTTCTCTTCTAGCTTTGTTATGATATGTCTCTCTGGCTTGGAAGAAGCCTGAATGTGGGACTGACAACTCAAAGTTATCTCCATCTTAGCTGCCATTTTGGGGCTCAGGAGACAGCTTTTTTCTCCTCGTAAACAGCTCAAACCTGAGGGATCATAGCCCTGGAGAAGTCTTCCTAAATGCCAGAAGCGAAGTTCTTCTGAAGATGTTTGAGGACAGGATGCAGACAGGCCCTTCTCATTCACTGGCCTTGACTCCAAACTCCTGAAGACAACACAGTCCCTGGGAGTGGAAAGAGTCTGTCTTTCCGATAGTTTCTAGAACTATCTTGTGAAGGAGAAAAGTAATAAAAATCCTCAAAGGAAACTGTAGGGGAATTACTGCTTTTATTTCACCGATGAGCGCACGAAGTCTCAGGAGAAGAAATGCACAACATGACGTAGGAGAAGTTCAAGTTGTCAGACAGCCGCCACCAGCTGCCCTGTGTTCTGGTTGGGCAGACCTCCGGCCTCTCCCCGCGGGGTGGTCCCAGCACCGCGGCGCCCGCCCGCCCGCCCGCCGGCCGGGGCTGGGAGTTAGCGGACGCCTCGGAGACACGGTGGCGGCTCGTTCCAGAGGCTCCGAAGGCCCAGCCGTCCCGGCCTCCGACAGAGCCCGACTCGGGCTCCGCGGCCCAGCTAGCCCCGGGCCTGACGAAGCTCCGGCGCTCCCGGCGCGGCTCAGCTTGGTGTCCGCGTACCAGCCCGGGCTGGCCCCCGGGAGGGCAGCGCCGCCGACAGGCTGCACCCCGCGCCCACCGGCGGCGGACTCACCTCACTGAGTATCCGGAGCCAGGGCGGGGGGCGGGGCAGAGCCTCTGGCCGCAGACACGCCCACACTGCGGAGGAACCACGCTACGGGAGAGCCGCCTTCCTCGCAGCGGGATTGGATCTTCGAGGGCAGGTTCTCCTGCCTATTGGCTGGTATATCTGTCGATGCTGACGAGTAACAGCGTCCAGCCATCGTAGTGCACCCTGGGAGTTGTAGTCCGGTGGCACGACCCGAGAGACCAGTGAGAGTTAGCCCAGGGCAGTTAACGCCCCCCGCTGGAGACCTGACCTCGGCCGGCGGCTTTGAAGAGGAGAGAGCGCGGGCGTCAGGTGAGTGCTCCGCTTGCTCCTGGCCTCCCAAGTCGTTTCAGAGCGGTGGAGCCAGGCCCGGGCACCTCTCGCATGCTCCGCGGTCACCTTCCTACGTGTCCCGGTGCCTTGGGTCCAGCTGAGCGGACCAGGCCGGGTTCCCATCTCTGTGCCCGCGCCCTGACTCCTCCTGGCTGGTGGCCGTGACCTCCGTCTCCCTGCAGCGCGAGCCTGCGGATGTTTTCCCACTCCACGCCAGCCACAGTGCAGAACCGCTTTAGCAGCAGGTGCTCTAGCGGCACTTAGTGCATCCCTGACAAGGGAGAGTGAATCAGTCCGTCCCCATTCTCACCCTACTTTCTGCCGGGTGGATCATCGCCAGAGGGAAACACATTTTTGAGAGACCAGAATTTTAAAATTTATATGAATGATGTCAGCGGTGAAGAGGAGTGCCGGCTCCGCCTTCTGCATGAAACTAGAATAGCATTTGTTAAATTATTCTTTCAGATAAAGTGCGGATGTACGAAAATGTGTTAGACAAGGAGGTGGGCGGGGGCGGGGGGGGAGGGGGACGGATGGCTGCAGGTTCTAGTCCCAGCCTTGCTGCTGAGGAGATATGATACTCCATTTATTTATTTATTTATTTATTTATTTATTTAGTTAGTTAGTTAGTTAGTTAGTTAGTTAGTTAAAAATGACTATTAACAGCAATGCTTTTGATTCCTCTATCTCTAGCCCAGACTGCCACATTTAAAATGGAAAGACAATATAATAAAGGCAGTTCAAGTTCTTTGGAAGAAAGGCAACCTAACCCCCACCCCTTTAAGTCTTTATTGTTGAAAGTATTACATACCCCCCTGATGCTCCCTCCCCATTTACCTCTTCTAGCCCACCTCTGCCCCCTACTCCAGGCCTTCACTATCCTATTGTCTGTGTCCATGGGTTATGCATGTACCCTGCTTCCCCGAAAATAAGACAGTGTCTTATATTAATTTTTGCTCCCAAAGATGCGCTAGGTCTTATTTTCAGGGAATGTCTTATTTTTCCATGAAGAAGAATATGGTACACATTTATTGTTAAGTGAAAATAAAGGACATTTATTACCTGTATACGGTACAGTAGGAAGGTAGTTGTCAACACAAACCAGACAAACTGTGAATCCTACAGTATCAAGAATTTACTCATTTATTTAATGACAATCATGTCATCATCTTCTGGAAATCATCATAACAATCCAATTCCTGAATTTCCTGGTGAATTTCTTGTGACTTCATTTTTTTCAGTGGACCAAATCTCTCAAGTTTAGCAATAGCACTGTCTTTAAATGAGTATTTCTTGTCAAGGTAGCCTGCTCACAGTACATTTGCAATGCAACTGTCCGCTCCGCCTCCACACAGCAGTGAAGTCAGGACTCGGCGTAACGTCACTGGTTGCTAGACGCCAGTCGGGGTGGCCCTAGCGACCAGTTTATGGTAAATTAATTTTCATTCTGAGACAGAGCCTAGGGGGGGCCTTATTTTCGGGGAGATGCCTTATATTTCACTCAGAAGGAAACCTGTAAGTAGGTCTTATTTTCGGAGGATGTTTTATTTTCGGGGAAACACGGTATGCATACAAGTTCTTTGATTGACCTCTTTCCATCCACTCACCCTCCCCCACCTTCCCTTTGAGATTCCACAGTTTGTTCCATGCTTCTATGTCTGTTTTGTTCATCACTTTATTTTGTTCATTAGATTCTATATGAGTGAGATCATGTAATACTTGTCTTTCTCTGACTGGCTTATTTCACTTTTTTAGCATAATTCTCTCCAGGTCCCTCCATGCGGTTGCAAATGGTAAGAGTTCTTTGCTTTTTACAGTAGCATTCCATTGTGTAAATGCCCTACAACTTTTTTATTCACACATCTGCTGCATTTGGGCTGTTTCCAAATCTTAGCTATTATAAATTGTGCAGCTATGAACACAGGGGTGCATATATTCTTTCTGATTGGTGTTTCTGATTTCTTGGATTATATTCCTAGAATTGGGATTACTGGGTCAAATGAGAGTTCCATTTTTAGTTTTTTGAGGAAATGCAATACTGCTTTCCATAATCACTGCAGCAGTCTGCATTCACACTAGCATTGTGCTAGGTTTCTCTTCACACTGTAGCCAACACTTGTAGTTTGTTGATGATAGCCATTCTGACAGGTGTCTTTAAATTTGCATCTCCAGATGATTAGTGACTTTGAGCATTTTTTTATTATGTCTCTTGGCCATCTGTTTGTCCACTTTGGAGAAGTATCTATTTAGGTTCTTTGCCCATTTTTTAATTGGATTGTCTTCCTTTTGTTAAGTTGTATGAGTTCCCTATATATTTTGGAAATTAACCCCTTATTGGATGTATCATTGGCAAATATGTTCTCCCATGCAGTGGGCTCCCTTTTCATGTTGTTGATGGTTTCTTTTGCTTTGCAGAAGCTTTTTATTTTTATATAGTCCAATTTGTTTGTTTTCTCCTTAGTTTCCTTTGCCCTAGAAGTATCTATAAACATATTGCTATGAAAAATATCTGAGATTTTGCTGCCTATGGATTCTTCTAAGATTTTTATGATTTCACGATTTCATTTAAGTTTCTTATCCATTTTGAGTTTATTCTTGTATAAGTTGGTGGCCTAGTTTCTTTTTCTTTTTCTTTCTTTCTTTCTTTCTTTTTTTTTTTTTTTTTTTTGCATTTATCCAATTTTCCCAACACCATTTATTTAAGAGACTGTCTTTACTCCATGTATGCTCTTGCTTCCTTTGTCAAATATTGAGCATAATGGCTTGGATCAATTTCTGGGTGTTCTATTTTGTTCCATTAATCTATATGCTTGTTCTTGGGCCAGTACCAGGCTATTTTGGTTAGAGTGGCTCTGTAGTATAACTTTATATTTGGTATCGTGATCCTTCCAACATTATTCCTCTTTCTCAAGATTGCTTTGGCTATTAGACTCTTTTTTAGTTCTATATAAACTTTTTGAGTATTTGTTCTAGATCTGTGGAATATGGTGGTGTATTTTAATAGGGATTAAATTGAATCTATAGATTGCTTTGGGTAGTATGAAATTTTAATGATGTTGATTCTACCAATCCATGAACACAGTATATTCTTCCATTTGTTTGTGTCTTCCTCTATTTCTCTTTTCAATGTCCTGCAGTTTTCCTAGTACAGGCCTTTTACCACCTTGGTTAAGTGAATACCTAAATTTATTAATTTTTTTTGTTGCAATGAAAAATGGGATTTTTTGCCGGTACCGGTTTGGCTCAATGGATAGAACGTCGGCTTGGGGACTGAAAGGTCCCGGGTTCGATTCCGAGCAAGGGCATGTACCTTGGTTGCGGGCACATCCCCAGTAGGGGGTGTGCAAGAGGCAGCTGATCGATGATTCTCTTTCATCGATGTTTCTAGCTCTCTATCCCTCTCTCTTCCTCTCTGTGAAAAATCAATAAAATATGTTTTAAAAAAATGGGATTTTTTTCTTTTAGTTTCTCTTTCTGAGAGTTCATTATTTTTTAAAATATATTTTATTGATTTTTCACAGAGAGGAAGGGAGAAGGAGAGAGAGCCAGAAACATCGATGAGAGAAACATCCATCAGCTGCCTCCAGCACACCTCCCACTGGGGATGTGCCCTCAACCAGGGCACATGCCCCTGACTGGAATCAAACCTGAGACCCTTCAGTCCGTAGGCTGATGCTTCATCCACCAAGCCAAACCAGTTTTGGCGAGAGTTCATTATTGGTGTAAAAAAAAAAAAATGCCATAGACTTCTGGGTGTTAATTTTGTATTTTGCTACATTGCCGAATTTATTTATTAAATCTAGTAGTTTTTTGAGATATTGATTGGAGGTTCTAGCAGGGGAGTGCAGCTACTCATATATCTTGACCAAAGATGGGTCCTTTCCTCTGGGGCAAAGGTCATCCTCTACAACTGAGCAAGTCCTTTTCGACTGAGCATG